ACAACTCTGGAGTTTCAGGGTTCTGTTCAGTATCTTAAGGCTGTGTCACACTGCAAGATTTTAAAACAGTCGATCRATTTTCAAAGACTGAGAGACCCCTCACAGGGGGATAAAAAATTATGGATATACAAGGTTTGGTCCTACCGTGTGATGTACAGCCACACGGCAAGTGACAACACATGAAAATATATTTTATGAACATTCAGATGTCAGATGTGAAATCTTGCGAGAATTCAGATGTTGGGAAAAATCTTGCGTGACCTCCAGAGAGACATGACTTCTGAGTAAATAAATATTTACTATGAGGAAGAAACAATGTTGATTATTTGTGGGCTATTTTTACCAGAGGAAAAACAATTCCATAGGACTTTTAACATCCAGCACACTTTCTAGTGAGTCATGACAGTTTTTTATGTCTTCTGTTTTTTGGATTCCCCTCCGTGCTTACATCACCTCGCTTTCTGACTGACTGTACGTCATATTCAGCAGGTTGCAAGCTCGTTTGTTCTTGGGTGAGCACCACACATGCTGATATCGGGCCAAAAAATCAAACATGTTGAATATCCCCGATTTGAGATTGGAGCGGTCCTGATGTCTTCCAAGCCAACTAGATCACTCTTAATACACCACATGGAAGGAATATCTGCTGTGATTATCTTTAGAGCCTTCACGATAATCTGGATGTCCTTAGGATTGTCGGAAGGGTCAGAATTCAGCACAATTATCCTGTGATGCAGCCCCTAGCTGTTCCTACAACTGAGCTCTCCTAGACAGAGATCTCTGGGCTTGTTCCTGGGATTTGTTGAAACCACTCTTCTAGTTTGGGGATCACAGCACCAAGTGTTCCAGTGACCACTGGGATTACTGATGCTTTAACTCTTCATAAATTCTGTATTCCCTCTTTTCGTTCTCCTTCTTCCTGATTTAGTCTTATGATGTCTACATCACTGCCGTCTTCTTTTGTTTGCCAATCACCACCATGTCCAGGAGCCTGAGCTGGTGTGTGAGGTTGAGAGGTTCCGACTAGTTCTAGTTGGACTCACCAAGACGCACCCATCTGACTCTGGAACCAGTCTCCTTGAGAGGGGTTGGACACTCTTCCACTGGAGTTGCCCCTGCTGAGAGGCAACGAGCAGGAGTGGGCATACTTATTGCCCCTCACATCTTTGTGCCTGTACGTTGGGGTTAAACCAACGAGAGAGTAGCCTCCTTCCGCCTACATGTGGGGGGACAGGTTCTGACTGTTGAAATGCCTATGTGCCTAACACCAGTTCGGATTACCCACCCTTTTTGGAGTCCTTGGAGGGGGTGCTGGAGAGCACTCCTGATGGGGACTCCCTCGTTCTGCTGCGGGACTTCAATGTTCACGTGGGCAACGACAGTGAAACTTGGAGGGGGGTGGTTGGGAGGAACGCCCCCCTGGTCTGAACCCAAGTGGTGTTTTGTTATTGGACTTCTGTGCTTGTCATGGATTGTCCATAAAATACCCCTGTTCAAACGTAAGGATGTTCATATGTGCTCTTGGCACCAGGACACCCTAGGCTGCAGTTTGATGATCTACTTTGTTGTCGTTTCATCTGATCTGCAGCCGCATGTCTTGGACACTCGAGTGAAGAGGGGGACAGAGGCATCAACTGATCACTCACTACCTGGTGGTGAGATGGCTCAGATGGTGTGGAAGGATGCCGGTAAGACCTGGTAGACCCAAATGTATAGTGAGTGTCTGCTGGGAATGTCCGACAGATTTTCCCATTAGACTGAGCCTCAACTCAGACCTTCAGGGGAACTTTGAACACGTTCCAGGAGAGGTGGGGACATTGAGTCCGAGTGGGCCATGTTCCGTACCTCCATTTTCGAGGTGGCTTACCTGAGCTGTGGCCATAAGGTTGTCGGTGCCTGTCGTGACAGCAACCCTTGAACCCGCTGGTGGACACCAGCGTTGAGGAATGCTATCAGGGTGAAGAAGGAGTCCTATCGGGTCTTTTTGGCCGGTGGGAGTCCAGAAGAAGCCGATAGCTATTGGCAATCCAAGCGGATTGCGTCTCGGGTGGTCGCTGAGGCAAAAACTTGTGTGTGGGAGGAGTTCGGAGAGGCCATGGAAAAAGATTTCCACATGGCTTCGAAGCGATTCTGGTCCACCATCCGGCGTCTCAGGCGGGGAAAGCGGTTCACCACAACACTGTTTATGGTGGGGATGGTGCCCTGTTGACCTCAACTAGGGTCCTGTCCCAAGTGGAGGAGTTTAAGTATCTCGGGGTCTTTTTCACAAATGAGGGAAGGATGGAGCGGGAGATCGACAGGCGGATTGATACTGCGTCTGCATTGACACAGGCGCTGTCCCGGTCTGTCGTGATAAAGCGAGAGCTTAGCCAGAAGGCGAAGCACTCGGTTTACTGGTCAGTCTACGTTCCGGTAAACCGAGGGACTCAGAGTAGAGCCGCCCAGTTTTACATATCGGAATAATACCAATTATCTAAAAAATGACCAATATTAGCCGATACCGATATTATTGCCGATATATCTTGTATCCCTAATACACAGATATAGTGGAATTTAAAAAAAAGTTTTAATTATACTTTTCTGACTGCGTGATTTTCATTACAGCAGAAGGAATAGTATGTGTGGCATGTTTTTGTTACTTGTTGGGGATGATTTTTCAGGAAATTGCAGCCTCGTGGAGACTGAATGCTCTTTGTGTGGACCAAAGCCCGATCCCCATGACTTTGGAGTCTGATTTTGGGTGGGGGGTTTAAGACCAAGGTGTGAATTAAGTTTATGCGAAATCTAGGGTCAGGTATGTACTGGAGTGGTTAACTTTAGAGTAAGGGGTCAGGGTTAGGCTATAGAAAGGACCAGTAAAAGAATGGAAGTCAATGGAAAGTCCCCACAAGGACAGAGAAACACGACTGTGTGTATTTATTGTCAGATAAACGTCTTCCAGGCTGACAGCTTCCTTTGCAGACGTCAGGTCAGAGAAGCTCCAGAGTCACGCTGATCTTTGGAAACATCTCAGAGTTTCTGCTGCGACTCCAAACCAACGAGTCCTGGCTGAGAAATTTTTTTAACGTTTTCATTTGAAGAAATACTTTCTTATCAACCTTCTGAGTAACAGGAGCAGTACAGTTTTATTTTTTTATAAATAAAGTGGGAAGTTTTATAATTTCAACATCTTTCAGGAAACTCTTTTCCTTTGATTCAAGCCCACGCATGACATGATGACAGAACTACTGTGTTTCATC